TCAAAACCAGGACAGTTAGTTACTCCACTGCAGGGTGATGAGCATGCAGTGCAATCATGGAGTTTTACTCTGCCTCTAAAATCTCTTAGTTTCCCCCGAGGACCCTCAGCAGGCAGGTGCCCTCAGGGCTGCAGCTGGTATCAGCGGGGTGCACCGTCCTCCCCAACGTGCCCACTGCCTTTCAGCTCCCATGGCTTTTGCCACCCTGCTTGTGCACGGAGTGGGCCACTGCCAGAAGTCACCAGTGGCTTTTTAAGCAAAAAGGAGAGAAAAATCATCAGTGAAAGATTTCTGAATTATTAATCTTTTGAAGGAGATAACCAATGAAAAAGATATTAAAGAAAATTCATGCCCCTCTTTCCTTTCAGTTTTTGAAGGCTCCAGTCCCAAAGCAGCTCTCCTGCTCTCCTGTTTTGGAGGGTCCCTTCCTAGCCTTTCTTCCTAGCACTGCGTTGAAACAACATATCAACAAAAATATGCTTGTCAGGATGCAGAGAGGAGCCTTGTAACTGGTGAAGGAGGGACAGCCATGCAGGCCTCTGTTCTGCTAGCTTTTAAAGACAAGTCTCATTTTAACTTTTGTTGCTGAATGTGTGGGGGGGCACATCTAATGGAAGAAGAATGCTGTCATGCTTGAGATTCAGTGGATTTATAAGTCTTTCCAAGGTTACGGTCGAAGGCAGAAGGGGGAAGTGGGGACCAGGAGTAATTTCATAGGCTTCCTAAATTCGTCTTTCACCAGTTCACTGGGAATGGTTTGTATTTTTTTTTGCATGATCTTCATTCTCAAGTTATTATGTAAGTAAGTTGACACTGAAAAAATGGTTGTAGTGTAAATAATCTTTTTTTTCCTTTCATGCTTAAATCTGCAGAGCATACAATGTATTTGTCTTAAACTGCATATAAAAATGAAAATGAGTGTAAAGCTGAGAAACACAGTTGTATACTCCATTATAATTTTTTTTTTATCCTTGCAAAACTAAATGGTTGATATGGGATTTAAAGGTGCGTCTTCAAAACACCGTTAAATACATGTGTGCCGCCAACAGGCAGAGCCAGGGGAAGGTGGGGCTGGCCCTCCCTCCTGGCTAGTCAGACCTGGCCCCCCAAGCTGAGCTCCTCCCTTAGCACCATGGCTCCCATCTCCCTTGAGATGTGCTTTTAACAGTGAAGTGGCTGAGTTTTTCCTGGAGAAGGAGGTGAAACTCTTCCAGAAGCAGGAAGGGCTGTGCTATATTCCAGTAAAAAAACAGACAAACTTCTCCCAAAATTACATGGGGCCTTTGAGTACTGCACCTAAAAACAACTATAGGGAGGGGAAGTGTGAAGCTTCTGATGCTGCATACAGTTATAGTGGCATAACCAAGGGGAAGAGGCAGTGTGAGGATGAGAATGAGCTGCTCTGGGGTTAAGTGTGACTAGTTAACAGCCAGAGCACCCCCAGGTGCACTACATAAGCTGCAATTGCATGGGGGAGGTATGTTCAGCATCAAGGTCTCCCCCTGTCCCCACCTCTGCTCCAGGGTTAAGGAAGGCCTTGTGTTGAATAACATGCTTGCACTGTGCCCCCAGTTACATTAGGGGACATCTAATTTTATACATATATATATATATATTTATTTGCCTGGTTGTTTTCTAGGTAATGCTGGTCTTTGCTCAAACCATTGCACTGGTGTATCTGAAGGTGTCATGTGCTGGGGCTCAGCATGGGAAGGAATCAGGAACAGGGAGGCCAAAATGCCCTATGATCTGATGTAGCAAAAACACAGTGAGACCCAGGGTTCTCCTGTGCTGACACAATCCCCATGAAAAGGCTGGAGCTTCTACCTGGTGTCTTAACAATTCATCTTTGTTTTCTGCGCTTCTGCTTAATCACCACCTGAGCTCTCTGTTACTCCATGACACTTCCCACTGTAAAACTGTAGCCAGGAGAAGCTTGTTAAGTCTGAGACAGGAATCTGGCCTTGAATCCTATAAAAATTTCTACACCATGTGACTCAATGCCTGTCCAGAACGGCAGTATAGAGTGGTTGGCAGGAGCCTGGGAGCAAGTAAACACCTGGCTAGAGGCACCACGCTGCAATGTCTTCCTCTGTCACCACAGCCTGACACCCAGGGCTACCTGGGCCAGACCCCCAGCACCTCAGCTAAACTGTACGGCCTAGTCTTTTTTGTTATTTTTATTTATTTATTTTGGACAGGTCCTATCAGGTCTAGGATCTGTGGGGTCCTGAAAGGAATATTTTAAATTTCAGCAAAAGTGCAGTTGCATTTTCCTTTTAAAGCAGGAAGGCATTCTTATTAATAATAGGAGTTAAAAGCTTTGTAAAAATCTTTCTTTATAATCAAATTGTAAAGCAAATCTACTTACTAACCTAAAGTATTTATTAGAGTACTTATTTACGCATCCTTACATCACTCAGTTCATCAGATACTATAGCTTTTAAACAGTTAGTTGGTTTTGTTCCATTTTGTCATCCGCCAAATAATTTGACAAATTTGCCAAAAACTCCCTGACATTTTAGATCAAAAGAGTTAGTTTTCTTCATTCTTCGCTGCCAGACAGGTCATGTATCTTTTCAGGCCTGAAGAATTTCTAGCAGCTATTTAAATGCGAGGCCGCGTAGACAAAGCCGGGCTGCGGCTGCACGAGCTGCGCTGGGGCAATTCAGGCCCAGACTAGTCGCAGCACGTAATTAAGCAGTAGCCGTGCTCCACTCCAGACTTTGTAACTTGCAATGTGAACTGTCTTCTTTAACGGTGAAAGGGGCCATATACGTGCTTATCGTGTGTGTGAACAAGGATGGTAGCAAGAAAATTGCTATCAAATCACCCCTAAAAAGCTTTTCTTTCCCCGCTCCTCAGACAGAGAGTGTGACGGAAGATGGCTGCTGGCAGTTCCCCACTGCCGAGGGAAGAGGACAAGCCCCAGCTTCCCAGCCCTTGCTAGAGGAGGAAAAGAAAGGGCCAAGCTAGGCATGGGTCTCTCCTTGGCACTACTGGCAGCCGCCTTCGCTTTCACTCCCTGCAGCTGGGCTCCAAGCCAAGGGAATTATACGCAGCACTTGCTGCGCTCTGAAAGGCAGTGGAGGTAGAGTAACCTCTCCAAGGCCTTCTCGCACGCTGCTCGGCTGTGGTCCTCCATGACAAGTTTCTTTTTGCTTGCTAGAAATCTGCACCAACCCAAGATCCCGTCCTCAGCAGCATTAAAACAGCAAGGAAGGGATACTTTCAGCTCAGTTCCAGGGAAATATCTGGCATGGGGCAGCCGCGGGGTTATGTTGGCCCTCAGACAAGGAGGTGGTGCCCCCTCCCACAATAGCTGAGCTGCATGAAGCAGTAAAGCCTTCGAGGTCGAGTCGTTGGAAGTTTGTGGATTAGTAGCAGAGCAGGTGCTGATGAGGCAACGTGGACTTTGCGGGTAAGTTTCCAGTTGTTGTGTCAGTGGCCTTAGAAAGATTATATATATATATATACAAGGCCATGTTGAATTTGATAAAAAAAAAAGAATATCCTGAAAACTTTCCATGGGTTACTTTCTCTATTCTGGGAGAAATGCAGCAGAAACACAAAGGGCAGCTGTACTTGAGGTCTCATAGCGGGGTCTGGAAAAATACTTCCTTACCATGGGAGGAAATTGCCTCTTACCCTACTCTTCCTGAGTTGTTATGCTGATGCCTCGCCCTTTAGTGCGTGTATGGAAACTGTGCAAAAGGCAGTATATGTGTTTGTGCACCCGTGCCTTCTGCAGGACCTGTCTATCTGTGACTGTTCATGTATTTTTTGGTATCTAATTCTGAAGGGAAGTAATACTTCAACCCCTGCAAACCACATAGGCAACCTTTCCAAGACTTTATGCGGGTAGCTTGATGCCTCTGGGAAGTAACGTACAGAAACGAAACTGCAGCCATTTCTGTTTTTTGAAGGTATTTCTGACTCCAGCAATTTTGCTGACAGCAAGGCCTGTTTTACTTTAATTCTTGTGTATCTCGTCCCTCATCAGGGTTGTTTCCTCATGTAGTTTGTGAGGCATCTCCATCTCTCTCTTTCCTGCTTTGACCACAAAGACTGTGGTATAGACTCTGTGGGACTATGTCAACACATCTGCCCACTTGAAAGATAATTTTGTGAGGGTAATGGTTAGTTTGTTGTAGCAGTTATTGTCTTGGTGTTCCAAGCAAACTGAAGGACATCATTACATATATAATTCAAGGAAGCACCCAGCAAGGTGCAACTTTTGCCCCAAAGTCTGTAACAGTAATTTCTGTAGAGCCTGGTGCATTCTCTGAAATGATCAAGAGCAAATGATAGTGTCCAGGGAGAGGAGCAGCAGAGTCAGTCCTCTGTGATGCTGCACCTCCTCTGACAGCGTGGGCAGGAGGGGAGTAAGGTAAGAACATGCGGGGGGTAGAGCACACACTGAGGGATGGCAGGGGTTCGATGAGCTCGGTGCCTGTGACGTGGGATGTTTGTAGCAGTGGGAGAAAGAGGTCAGCAGGGCCTAAGGCTCCAGGATGAACAGAGTTACAGGATTTGCCTAAAGAGAAAGCCATCTGAGGCCCACTCTAACGAAAATTCATGCGAATGCTTGATTTTGCACACATGCAGAGTCCTTTCAAAACTAGTGCATAAAGTCTTTGCCATTCAGAGTTAGGCATTCATCACATGTTTTTTCTTTTTTACTTGCCCGTGTGAGACTTTAAGATTTTTTTAAATATATGTATCGTGATGGGAATGCGGAGAGAATATCCTCAGGAGATTTTGTTATATGTAAGGATGTATTTCAGCCTCTGTCATTAAGAATAATCTAAAAAGCAGCAGCTAAATTTGAAAGCAAGAAAGGATTTTTCTTGACAAATAATTGACTGAGCGTGGTTTAACAGAAATGCTACAAAATAACATCTGTTGAAAATCATGGTGCTTTATTTAATTTTATGTGTTGTAAATTTATTTTTTTATGTAAAGACAAGCACAAAAAGAGCAACTTTGTTGTTTTGCAGAGAGTTGGATTGAACGATGTCTCAACGAAAGTGAAAACAAACGTTATTCCAGTCACACCTCTCTGGGGAATGTTTCTAATGATGAAAGTAAGTAACTTCTCCTTAATTTTAAATACTTGTGGAGATACCCATGTGCTGATTTCCTCCTATATAAGTTGCTATACCCTTGTGATTTTTTTCGTACTCTGTAGTTTGAAGAGTCAATTTACAGACATATTCAATAATTTCAGAAATAACTTTGCTGAAATATTTGTTATTTCTCATATTTGAAAGGAAGTAATACTACCGCTATACTATACTAGATTACAACATCTAGCAGAATTTGGGTGTCATTAAATAAAAATGGAATGACCTTTAAAGGGTACTGTATTAGTTTATGAATGAAAAAAACATGTTTTGCTTCTCAGTGGTGAACATTGTGCAGCTGAAATACAGGCAAAAGAAAACATGCTGTTGTTCAGTACCAGGGAATTGAATCACCAGTATAGAATATTTATTTGAAGAATTAAATAATTATTTTCACATAAAAAATCACATATTAAATATATACCAATAATGCTTCCTTCTTAATCATCTAAAGGAAACAATTGATTTTAAAAATATATATTTTTGCTCATCTCTTCCAGTTACTGTAGTTTTAGATCTTGATTTTGAACAAAAGCAGATAATTAAAAATATCATAAAACAAATTAAACTTAAACCTAACAGTTTCTCTTTAAAATTTCTAGTTTATCGTTCAGTTTTTAGTGTTATGCAATTTTTATTCTTTTTAATTCGATTAGAGCAAAATAATATTCGGGTTAATTTCTCCCTGTATGCTTCATATATTAGTTCATGTTACAACAGATGAATGCAGAATAAATTCTTTAATTCAAAAAGACACACACATTTCTATAATATTCAAATGCAGAAATTTAAGAACTGTAGTTTTAATAATCTTAATTGCTAAATATCCTTTGAAATTTAAAAAATTTTAAGAGCACTACTTTTTTTTTGTCACTGTGAAATTACATGCCTTTCAGCACAATATTTTAGTGGATCACAGAATTTTCTACACTGGGGCCTCACTTCATTTGTCTGGGGGTTTCTTCTGAGGGAGAAAGAAAGTATTAGAAGTATGATGCTTGTTCACAACTCCCAAGCTGAGTTCATTTGATAAGAATTTCCAAAGAAAGCTAATAAAACTAGGCAGCTTTGGATTTGGGGGTTGTTCTTTTTTGTTTTGAAATAATTGAGGAATTTGAATTGAGTTCTGCACTAAACAACAAAATGGTAGTGAAATTACAAAAGCAAAAGGCAAACAACAAAAAAAATAACCTGCTTTTCAGAGTCTGTGAGAGTTCATAAAATTTATTTTACTCTGGTAAGAAAGTGAGGGCAATTGCCCCCAGTGAGCGATGAGTGACTTCAAACTCTTAATAGAGGCAGAATTTAGGATTCAATCCTAGTGACTTTAGTGAGCCTTTCCTTAGACTGACAGTTCAAGACAGCAGTGTCAAGGCAGTTATTCTGCACTAGCAGATGCTAGTACTACTACTACTACTGAAGGCTTAATGTCACTATATAAGTCTCCTTCTGTGTTCAGTTCTAGACTGGATACCCTAAGCAGCTTGTATTAGCTAGTATTGCACTAGTGGCTGTTTGATGTAGGAGTCTATAGTTGAAGTAGAAGCAGGGAAAACCTTCCACACACAGGGGGACACTGTGTAGGTTAGCAAGGATGACCAAGCAGGTATTTCAGAGAATGGCACTGAGAAAAGAGGGTGGGGTGCTCCTTCTGTTCTGTAGTACTGGATTTACAGGGCGATTGATGATATTGAAAGGCAGCAAATTTTAAACTGGAAAAAACCAAAGATGTAAGTGAATTTATTCCACAGTTTGCAGAATAGTTGCCACAGTGCATCATGAAAACTCAAACCACAGATACAGAGTTATACGCAGGTACTCCAGTTCCTTCCTCTTTACTGGTACCAGCATTTTTGTGGGTGCACCTATCCACCTGAAAAATCCATTATTTTTCTTGTGTGGTGAAGGTGAAGAAGAGGAGGGAATAGGAAAGAAAAAAAGCATTTTCCCAGCAGTAGAGTTTTCACCTGAGGAAGCATCGTGCTATGAGGTCTTTTTCAGCTCTTGAGTTTTCTAACATTTCTTTAATAGTGCCCACGCACTAACCAAGGAGTTTCCAAACCATCATGTTTGTCTTTGTCCAGTTTTTTTTTTTTGACCCTGAATTAATTGAAAACTGTAGGAATTTCCACTGTGATCTACTAATGTCCTTACTGAATGTCATGCTTGCTTTTGTAACTAATTTTTCCTAGATATTTTTACAGTTCTTAGGGTTTTAGACAAAGATCTGTAGTTTCTATATGGTCTCCTTTTCTATAGCTGGACTATGCCATAGCATTATATCTCAGAGGAGATAGGTCCTTTGCAATCTTTTTCTGCCTTCAGCCAGGCCTTTGGGCCTTTTGAACATTACAGTGTAGAGGAAGTAATGACTTACAGCAGATTTTCACCATTTGCTGCTTCTTGGGACTTTTCTTGCTTTTTTGAAGCCTAGTATGACCTCTCTATGAAACAGAGCAGCTACATTCTAATATAAACCTTGCAGTTTAATTGTTATTCAATTTCCAATTTCCTAAACATTTCTTCTGCTACTTCTCCATTCTACATGTTAATCAAAAGACCCACAGGAAGAGGGAATGGTATAATGCCATATCTAATAGATAAAGAGAAAATAGGTTTTTTGTTCTGTGTCTTCGAGCAGATTCTGCAAAATTGAAATAGGGGTATGGAAGAATACAGTTCAAGGACTATAAAAGTTTCAGTTTTCAACTTCAGTTGAAAAGTTCAACTGAACTTCAGTTTTCAACTTCGGTTTTCTGTGAGTGATCTTATCTGACAAAGTAGAAGGTCTGCTTGTACAATTTTTCTATGTTTAGAAATGAAAATGTGTAAATAGTTCACGAGACATAAATGAAAAGATTCAGACTCCTCCTTATGCTTTACAAACATTGTTCAGGGTCAGTGTTCAAACTGTTTGAAATTGAAAATTTTCCTATAAATTTTTTGGGGGGAGGGAAATTGTGGTTTTGCCTTAAAGTAAACTTCCATTAAAAGGGATTGTCTTAATCATCTTTTTTTTTTTTTAGTTTAAAAAATATTATCTGAACAAAAAATCTATTTATTCAATTGCCAAACTTGAACTCTTTCCTAACACTACTTGATTTCTGTTGAAATCTTCCTTGGAAAAAAATCCTTTCTTTTCCAGTCACACCTACTGAATTAGAATTATGCTCCCATATTTCTTGGGGACTTCAGAAAAATCCCAGTCTTTTTTAAAGCATGGGATACATGCTAAGGAGCCTGGATCCTATTTGTAGCTACATGGAAGTAAGAGGCAAGGTAGCTTCTTACCACTAAACTAATTTTTGGCAAAAGCCATATCCCTTTTGAGAACAGCCAGAACCTGGGCTGCAGGAACAAGAGGGTAAGAAGCCACGTCCATCCCCAGACAGCTGTGGAGCTGTCTGAAGTGCAGGATTTTGCCTAGATGGAGTCTCTGATAGGTCTGACTATACATACACACAGGCAGGACTGCTCTGATAACTTCCACTGCACGTCGTTTATGACAGAGCTGGGTTTCAACATTTTAAAAAAGTGTGCATTCATGCTGGGTCTTCACCTTCTCGGTGTTCAGCTTACTGTACTTAAGGCGTGCTGCTCAGAGACGCTGAGTGCAGCTCCTGTTCATTTGTCTCCACATTTTGCACTGAGAAGCAAGAAATCCCTGAAGGTGGAACTAAACTTCAAGACAGAAGGAATTAGAGGATATTACTGAAAGTTCAGGATGAGCCACAAATGCACATGCAAGATGCAAGTTCAGCTTTACTTTGGCAGCATTGAAATAAACTTTTGCAAGGAAAAAGACGTGGTAGCAAAAAAACATCCATGAAAGTTGGGAAGAAAAGGGTTCTGATATCTCTCAGGGGAGAGCAATGCTAATGTTAAGATGGAGAGGTGTCTTCCATGCCAAGAGTTTTCCTTATATAAACTATGGCATGATGTCAGCTTGGAATGAGTACCAGCTTTCCTACCAGACCAGCTAGCTTGAGATACCTTTACTTGGGAAGCCAGTAACAGGACTACTGTGTATGTAATTGCTTGTGGAGTGAAGCTGTTAGATCTGCTCCTAGCAAGCAGGTTTCTCCGTGAAGTGCAGTGCAGCTGCAATACCCGTGAGTACCTGCAGCTGAGCATGAGGAGTGCCACCTTCCTCAAGGCTTCAAGGCCTTTGCCAGTAACAAGACTTTTTTGGGCATCTTTATTCTCTTTCTTGACAAGATTGGGTTTTTAAAGTATCAAATTTTAAAAAGTATTGGTTCATTTTAATCTGCAGTATTGTTCTGAGGAGGGACTGATAAAATGAAAGGCCAAATAGTATTCCTTCTGTCTTTCTTGCTGCACAAATAGATTTGGGTTCAGTCCTGAGTCAGGAGTAGCACAAAATATTACCTGCTCAACAAGGGGGCCATCAAGTACCCTGCTAGCAACTAAATATGAGGAATAGGGATATTTGAAGTAGAATAAAATGGTTGTATATCTAATACTAAAAGTTTATATTTCTAGGTGCCCTCTGCTCTTCTACTAGGCACATTTTTTCTATCCATTTCATTAAAAAAAATCTGTAATCAAATTGATTTTTTTTTGTTATCAAATATTTTAGCCAAAAAAGTGATGAAAACAAGAAACATTCTGTCTGGCACCTGACAGAAATCAGAAAAGTCTTTTTTTTTTTTTTTTTTTTACATTCTAGGGGAGGCAAGCACTAACTCCTTTGGAAATGTTTGGTTTTGTTGAAAATCCAGTTGTTCTTGGGGTAAACGCTTTGATGCAAAACGATGCCCAAAGAATGGATCTCAGCAAGTTCAAAGTTCATCATTTTCTTCCTCAGTTTAAAAGGACAAGGGGGCGGGAGGTGTTGAAGGATCCCCAGGAAGCAGGTGTAGCTGAGGAGGAGTTTTAAACTGCACCTATGATCTTGCTGTTAACAGATGTGGTGTTAAAACAGATGCCTATGGGGAAGGTGCTGATCTGGGTCAGCTTTTGGTGTGTTCGAGGGCAGGTTAGATAAAACACCTGCGCAGGTCTCGATGTAGAGGTCTTAACTCATCATGAGTGACACATTTTGACTTGCATGTCAAGACCTACGAGGCAAGACCTACAAGGTCTTGACATGGATAAATAGGAGCTGGGGTGGAGATGGATGTTGTAGAGACTCGAATATTAGGCGATCTAGATATCGATTCAATGTCTGTTAGAGTCAAAGTCTGACAGAGAGAATTAAGTCCTGGTAGTGTAGATGAAAGGCATTTAAAATATACCTTTCCATGCAATCTTCCCAAATCTGTCGGGTAATCAGGAGCTTTGTTTTGAGAGGGACTGCTTAAGATTTGGGATTTTTAGTTGGTTAAGACCAATGGCTTTCTACCTTTTTAGTCTGCAGCCCTCCAAAAACTTCCAGGGAGATGAAAACTGCCCTGCCATGAATTCAGCCACAAGCAGAAGTCAGCAGGATCTGGGATCACTCACATGGGCATCGGCCACCATTACATACCTCGTGGTGGGGTCCCCTGCCTCCCTGTAGTGTGCAAGGCTCCTGGCAATCAGGCCATCCCTGAAAGGGCCGCCTGGTGCCCCGCACCAGGGCCACGGAGAGCACCCGGCAGCCTCTCGCCATCGCAGGCGCAAGGCCTGCTCGCCATGCTGGCACCTCCAGTGCCGTTTTGGTTACTAAAGCCAGGAGGGATGGAGGATGCTCCCTAAATGCTTTCTTGAGGTGCGGCGGTGGCAAGTAACCCCCATTCTCATGTGCCTTAACACGGGTGGCTGGCCAGGCCGCCTTGGCGGTTCATCCAGCCGTGCTTAGTGGCTGCGCCACCTCGGCAGCCAGGCCCCAGGTACTGGAGGTTGTTGCCTACTGGCACTGTCTGTTTACGAGCAACAAATGAAAAGAAAATCTTTAAAAGTGATCTGAAATGTGTATATAGGTCTATGGACTGAATAAAAGGCAGGCCCCCTGAAAGGCTGGGAAGGAGTGTGGGGGCAGTCATTAGCGGTGCTTTTGTAATGCAGATGGCGAAGGAGGCGGCTGAGGTGTCTGCCCATAGCTGTGCTAAAATTGGGGTTTACCCCATGTCCAGGGCTTGGCCTGGCAGGCTGAGGGATGCTCAGCCAGCATGAGTTGCCCCACGTGAAGCGGAGGAAATACTGTGGCACAGGGACAAAAGGCAGCATTTTGCAAAGTGTGGTGTTTTCTGGTGGTGGTGGTTTTTTTTGTTTGTTTTATTTTCTGTTCCCTTTTGAGGGGTGGGGAGGATATTTGTGTTTTGTTTTTTGGCTGTATCAATTCTTGGGGCTGCACAAAAGACCTCCTAAAGGGGTTGGATATTCAGAGGCCCTCAGCATTCTCAGGGCTCCCTTAAGCAGCTTCTGAAAGTTGCCTGTGTCAAGAAGAGCGGCTTTGCAATGCGGTACGTAGCCAGCACGGCCCAGCTCGCTGCTTGTCTATTGCAGCCCTCTGCGTTCAGCCCTTGCATCGTCAACAAAGTTGTAAAAACACCAAAACTATGTTCAGAACGGCAGGGATTCACAGAGAATACCCTTCCAGAGAGGCTGGTTGTGCTTCAGGCTCTTGGCTCACACTTAGAATTTCTCCTTTTTTATTTTAATGCTTTGCAAATCAGTTTAAAAGGAATTATACTATACATTCTTTTCAATTTTTCAAAATGTGAACCAGGGAAAATCCAATAATTCAAAAAATCTTTAGTTTTCATCCTTTTTTGTTCTTCTTTATTGATCTTTAATTAAGCTTTTGGGGAAGTAGAGCAGATCAAAGGTCAAATTGCTACCTTGGAAAACAGTGATCGAGAATGCATTCAGAAAACCTATCTGAAAAAAATAATGTGTACTAGAGAGTGTTTTTAATTTTAATTTTAATTTTTCATTTTCGGCACTAACACCATTAATTTGCAACACTTTGTGTAGATTATATTCTAGGATCACGGCAGCAAATGAACCCATTAGATTAAATGCCTCATTTAAGAGAAAATTTGGATAAAGCAGCTGTTCCCTTAAAGCCCATGATAGTTGTTTTATGTTCTGATCAGTGATATTACAAACTTTGTTGCAAGAAACATTTATGAACATTAGCTTAGGGAGCATCATGTTACTTGTTTCCATAATTTAGCCATTATTTGGGGGAAACATTGAAACTTGAGAGTGTATTTAGACAGAAAATTACTTACCAGTACACAAATGTTTGAGCAATTCCCACTTAAATTACACAGATTTTTTTTTCTTAACAGATGAGGAAAAAGAAAATAATAGAGCATCAAAACCACACTCAACTCCAGCAACTCTGCAATGGTAAGATGCCTTTTAAAAAAAATCATAAAAATCTGTGCTCCTTTTTTTTTTTTCTCAACTGGAGTGGATAGAGGTTTGGGACATCATAAATAGTGTTAAAAGTATTTTTACTCTCCATGCTCATTAGGATCCTTTATAACAGTGCTCAAATACTGCCTTGCACTTATAGGATTTCTTTGAATTTCAGAAAGCTCTGATACAGTTAGGAAGGTCTTCTTGGCAGATTTGTCTATCCCCTTTTCATTTGATGGTTTACAGTTTTTCATTATCATTATAGTTACTACAAAAAGAAAATGAATACTGAGAACTCTTTTCAAGACTAAAAATGTGTGTTGGAGCCCACCTTTATGGATTGTTTTACTGAAATCAGAGTCCTGTAATTTAGGGTAGAAGAGGACAAAAGAAGTGACTTTACAGCCTGATTTATTTGCCAAAATCTTCTTGGAAATGTAGCGAAGGAAAAAGAAGTGGATTTAAGAAGACAGCAAGGGAGAAAATGGGGAGAGGAAGTGTGTAAGGGAAATAATCTGCTGTGCCATGAAAAGTGTACAAGTGCTCTTCACCTATGGGTGCTTTACTGCAGTGCTTTTGGCTGCAAGTTCAGTGATTTTTCACATGTCTGGCATCTCTTTCCATAAGTCATCTCTTAGGCTTTGATTGATTCTTTTTTTCTTCTACTTTAGACTTTTATTCCCGGTTTAGCTTTCTTTATACTGAAAGGTGTTGAGCAGCTTTCAGGCAGTTCCCTGTGTCTGGTTGATTAGAGTTCTGTTACAGAGAAGTTCACCAGGCCTCAGAGCAGACTGCTTTGTTTTTTGAATAAAGTCTTTTACTTCACCTATAAGAATTCCTTATAGTTTTCTGGATGAAATATATATATACATATATATATATATAGGCAAATAGTGTTTTGTTAACAAAAAGATTTTTTTTTCTGCTTGTGTCAGCCTTATGGGAGATCCAACATTATAAAGCAAAGACTAATCTGTTCAACGATTTTTTCTCTTTTTCTGCCCATGAAATATACATGAAAAGATTCAGATTATTCCACTTTTCTTTTGAAGGTTAATTAGTTAAATTTTGTATTTAAAAGTAATGTGGGTTAATTAGAATAAGGCACTGAAAGTGCTCAGTGCTCGGCCTTGCTAAAGTCGCAGATACTTCCAGTGCAAATACTGAGACATGCAAATATAAATTAAGCCAATTATTTCTGAATCACTGCAGCTTTGTATCTGTTAGCACCAAAAGTGCTGTTTTGCAGAAGTTCAAGAAATTCAAATAGAGGAGTGTGTTTACAGACAGAGAAATTCATTGAAATACTAGTGGTCATGAATGTTTTTTTATATTTATCATTATTCATCCAAACAACTTCAATACTGTTCAGATAGGATGAAGATAAAGGAGAATCTATCTAAAATAAAATAGTAGGCAGGGCTTGCCAGGCCCAAATTCAGAATAATGTTTGTTTTTCAGTAGAGTCATTAAGACTCTACTTCATTTTCCAATGAAGCAAGTAATGCAGTAGCCAAGAAGTCAGAGTTAATTAGAACATGCCAGCATTACTGTTCCCAACAGCAAACATGCAAATACTGTTAACAGTCTTCTGCCAACTGCTTTCGAGCTTCCGCAGTTATAAAGGTTGGTAAATCCCTAAACTCCTGGGATATTGAGCCCTGCTGGAATGCAGCGTGCAAGATACAGCTCTTCCAGCAGTGTTTGCAATAGGATCCTGGAATTTTGAAATTAAAACGTTGCTCGTATCATCTCTTCTGCCCACCTGCTAGTGTACTATCTTACTGCCTGTCAGTTGTGTTCTGTTTCTTGCACATTTAGGTAAGTCAAACATCCAACCTTTTGTCTGTTGAGGTGTCTGCAATTCCCTCATTCAATTTTCTATCCCAAAATACATGATGAAAGATAAAACAATGAAATTTTAAAGCTTCATTTCTTTACCTGATGCCAAGCTGAATTATGTGATTGGTTTGTTTATTAATATGTCTGTGGGTGGAAGCATCCTAGCTTGGTAGAGTTTTCCAGTGGTTTCTGTATGATTTTCTGGCTGGTGTTGCAGCTTTAAATTGGCATTGCCTGGAAAAATTGTGCTGCTGCATTTAACATAAATAAAACTAGGAGCTCAGTTGTGGTCGATGTCCTAAAATGTTCTAAGCTTGCTTGATGTGAAGATGCTGATTTTCCTCTGCTATGGAAAGCAAGGCACGTTAGCATCAGGTTATTTGTCATGCCATGGCACCAAGCGTCCCGCATTGTGGTCAGCAGCACAAAATTGCCGCGCTGCCCAATAACTGGTGCTTAGTTTCACGTATTTGAGTTTTGTCAGAGTTGTCCTCAAACTCTGGTTTTGCACAGCCACAGAAGATCAAAGATTAAATGTAAGTACGTATGTCTTCAGTGAGTGTGTGTCCTTCCCTCCGACAGGAATCTCTGAGGCGGATTCGAGAGAGTTGGAAATGGTGGGTAGATTATTTATCAGATTGCAGGGATAAAACAGGGATGTCTTTTATAGCTAATGAAGGCAAGAGAGTGTTAGAGGACAGAAGCAAAGGATAAGCAAGGAAAAAGAAGAGGATGAAAGTAGCAGGGAAAGCGAAGTAAGACACAAAGGAAATATGTGGGTTTTATTATTATTATTATTATATATATATATTTTTATCATGTGGTTCATATTTCCATGATTGCTTCATGTCTGGTATCCTGCCAAGAACAGTGAAAAGCATCTATCCCACAGGGGGTCTATCCTTAGTGCTTACTGGGAGTCCTCATCTCTCTAGAGCTGACCTAAGTTCTGCACTAAAAATGAGAAACTGTAAGTAGCTACAGACACCAAGGCATTTCTGGATGATTCTTAGCCTGGCTAAGTCCCCTTTTTCTGGAAACAGGAGTGATATTTTTCTTTGTTTTGCTTTGTTTGTTGATGACACTAAAGGAAGCGGAAGAGCTGGTAATTGTACCATTAGTGCCAGAGTCCATCTCCAGGATTGGAGAAACCAATTTGCTTTAAACCATTAAGGCATTAATCTACAGATGCTTGTGATCCTGTGTTTATCCATGCTCCTGTGTTCATTATTATCTGTAAAACTGCAGTGCTCGCTAGGCACTTTGCTCCAAAATTGTCACGATTATTTCATAGGTGAAACGGTTGAGTGTACTTTAAACGTGAAATTTTATTAGATCTCAGATTGGCACATGTGTGTGCTTACCTACCTCTCTAAGCAGTGACTTGTTCAAAGCACACACCCTAACTCCATGCAGTTCAGGGGCTTGCAGTATAGGTGTGTCAGACACGAACCGTAATGTGAAGGTAAAGGTAACAAAACAAAACAATTTCATTTTCTCTGGTATCCATAAAAAGACTAAAAAGAGGATGGTAAATCATTGCTAGGGAATTGGTTCTCCCAGATTACTAATTTCACAGGAGTTGTTCTAACGTATCAAAATTAATCTGCTCTAGAATCCTTTATGTAATTAGCAATATCAACATTGCAGGGTTCTGTTCCCGTAATATCTAGAAATAAATTTGTAACAATTAACACTACGGGCACTACTCTGCTACAGAATGATCTCATTTAATCTAGAAGTGTATAAATACAAAGAAGAAAACAGTAATAAGAGACAAATAAAATTGCCTTTCCTGCAAAAGGTTTAGAGGTTTTATTGCTTTACTGTAGCAGAACAAAAGATCTCATTGTGGGCTACTGGATTTCATAGGACTTTATTGGGAATTTTAGAATGTTTTATATGTATATATTATTTCTAATAATGATTTGTTAGGTAGAAGATTGAGTTCATTATCTTTCTACAATACTGTAGAATGAAGCTGAATTCAAAATATGATAAAGTTCTTAAATAAAAGACAGGAAAATAAAAGAAGTGGAGCAAGATGGGTTTTTTGATCATTAAAAAAAAAGTTCAGGTATAGTGGAGCATTGTGCAGTGTCAGACTAATGACTCACTGTGAAAGAGAAGAGAAAAAGAGAAAAATTCATCAGATATGAACAGAAATAATTAACTGCTTTTCTTTCTGTCCTGTCTTGGTCACGGAAGCTGACATTCCAATTAGCAGCTATCGTATACAAACGAACTCTCCAGGTTGTGAAAGGAGGTTTTGTTAAAGCGCTATGAATTTGAGGAAAGATGTCGTGATGATATTCCTGTAGAAACGGGGGAAGAATAGATGTTGCCCATACAAACCGATCCCATTCATCTGGCCGGATATCTTATTAAAATAGTTTGCAGTCACAAATGATCATGGTAACTGAAATAGAAGCAAGGTAGGTCCTACAAAAGGCAATGGAAGAGAGAAACTAGATGTTTGGTAAGGTTTGAACTTCAGCAGCTGTCAAATGATAGGGGGTCGTTCACTTGAAAATTGGAGTTTTTTGAAAATATTTTAGTTTTGGTGGTGTTTAGGAAGTTGCCTCCACTTTCTGCTCAAGGCACACAAGCACGTGGATAACCACATGCACACAAGGAATACCATGGATGGTAAGAAGATGGATGATTTTATAGCTAAGCGTGTACATAAATACCTCTTGAACTTCTCTGGATCAGCAACTATAAAAATATAATTTTAAAGGAATGCTTCTTTTAATCAGTAGATGTATAATGGGATCAGTTTGAAGGTTTAAAACTAAAGAATATAATTGTTGCTATACTTGACGCATAATTTAGGATTTTGTAATTACATGTTTTTGTGTTTGCATCTATAAATGAGTAATTATACTTTCTATAAGGTACAGGAGATTGTTATTTCAGCACATTGTGGGCTCTTGTTTTCTTGGCTTTTTACAGCAGCAATTTTGTTTAAATTCTTTAGTATTTAACTTTTTCTAGCCAGAAATTCTGGCTAGAATTCTAACATTCTAACAATTAACATTTTCTAGCCAGAGCTGCATCCTCCAGGTAAGAAATTTTGCAGCTGGATAGGAGTGCAAAGTGTGTCTTGAACCAATGGTGACCTGTTTCCTAAAGAATGAAAGGAGGCTGCCTCTCAGTGAGGTTTTCTTGTTGTTCCTTAGCTATACATCTATTTGTTTGCTCCAGTGTGCTTTTGGGTATAAGCCATGGTTTTGGTGGTAGGGTTTTGTTTTTTTTTAACTCTGAAAAGAGCACTTTGGATATTGTCTAAGACCAAGGTTCTTTTGTGCACTTCTTTCGGAGAACCCACAGCCTGTGTATTTGATAAGAAGCAGGAACTAAATGATGCAAGTACACAGTATGGAAATGAACGAAGAGGAGAGAAAACTTAGTAGAAAAGCAGAAGCTGGAATGCTAGGTCTTAAAGATGCAGCTTCACACACTGTTTATAATACAGGACATCCAACATACTTGCAGTTTTCTCTGTTTGATATTTGCTTTTTAAGGCTGGAGGAGAACTATGAGATTGCAGAAGGTGTTTGCATTCCTCGAAGTGCTCTTTACATGCATTACTTGGACTTCTGTGAGAAAAACGACACTCAACCTGTTAATGCTGCCAGCTTTGGGAAGGTGAGTCTAAACTGCAATAGGATGCCTTGAGAACCGGTGTGGTTCAGGTGAGTTGGGATCATTGAAAAGAGTTAAACCGTCATTTCCTCCTCAAGACAGTATTATGTGATTGCAGTATTTTATGTATTCAAGCTTCAGGAGAAACAGTAAGATTTCAAGTATTTAGAGGTTTGGAATGACTTTTCAACAGCATCACAAAATCACTAACTTTTTTTTGGTAACTTCAGTGTTGTCCCTAGCTTAGCTGACAGGAGCTGAGATACAATATTGGCAGCGTGGAAGTCAAATATAAGCCAGGGTAAACCTGTCTGCTTTGTGACTTGTAGCACTTTACCAGTTATTTTAATAAAAACAGAACTGTAAATTTCAAGCATTTAGTCCTGGACCTGTATATACTATTTCTAAGCATAAGAAGATCTCTGAGTGAAGGATCCCAGCCCACGATGGCAAATCCACAGAGTGGAGGACAGTCCCTCCAGATGTGCAAGCAGCTACCTGCATTTGTGTGGTCCCTTGGCACTGTGATCATTCTGCTCCTGCTTTCTAGGCCAGATTTAGCCAGAGCCAATCTGGTTTGCTCCAAACTCAGAGCAGAGACGTGCTTTTAGGGCAGCTGTGCGTAGTCCAAATGTGAGCTATAAAGCTTTTATTCTAGAATTTTATTCATTAGTACTAAACATTGAGTGGTCAGGATGTAACATTGGGTTATTACTTCTTGGATTTTTTGGTTAGGTAACGTTTTCTTCTCAGTGAAAACCAGTATGATATTTTTATATCTTTTTTTTTTCTCTCTAGAAAACATTGCAGGATTAGAAACTTGCAGGGTATGGAAAAAAAAAGTTTGAATATTTTTTAAATGCTTACATACATCAAGCTGAAGCTGATTTCCCTCTAGGCTATTCCCTTCTTGTGTTTGAAACATTAATTCTATAGAAGTGCTGGCTATTCAAAGAAGGAAAATTGGTTCTAGAATAGGGTGTCTATGTAAAAAGTAGGTGAAGGGAAAGAATTTATATATTGAGGTGGCATTTTCTGTATCACATCATTATTTAGGCAATTTAGCAAGGCAGAATCATGTTGCAACACTGGTATGTTTGTCACATCTTTTAGTCCTGTATAGCTCAGTTGCTTCTGTGTTTGATTTTCTGTTTAAGTATACCACATAAGTGAGATGGAAATTGTTCTTTTGATATATTATTGCTACCGACTGGTATGTATAGTCCCAACATGCAATTTAGGAACAGCAAGAACAGGAAACAGATTTCATGCAAGCTCACACATTTGAGACATATGTAACATTTACATGATGCTACTTTTGCCCCTACTAAAAATTTCCGTAAATCATGCACAAGGAATAAACATTCTGAAAATGCCACCAATTTTCAGTATGCACCAGTTTTGTCCTGCTGTATGTTGATTCTTCCTCTTTCTTTCTGCCTGTGTCAGTGGGAGTGCTTTCACCTAGCAGGGCAGGTCTTCACAAATCATAATATTCTCATCTGCTTCCCAGCCTCTGGGGTTTTCCACTTGGTTGTACAAGGTTATTCTGAAGCAACGATTTTGGTCCTTTGTTTTCCCTTCAATATCCAGCACTTTGTTTTCCCTCCTCAAGGAGAGGAACCAAAGCAGAAGCCTCCTAATATTGTCCCAAAATACAAGCTAACATGTGGTCATTGCTTTTGGGACTGGAAACAGGGTCTTTTGCATAGCCATGCCCAGAAGCTTCAGACAACACTGCCGTAAGTGTGGGCGCGAAGCAGGCTCCTGCCTTGCGGACACCAGGGCAGGCTCAGCAAATCTGTCAAGTGCTATTGCTAAGAAAATGGAAATAAGTGTTCGACAGGTAGACGACCCCTTTGTGCAATGAATAGATTGGAGGCAGCTTCTCTGGGAGCGGGAACGTGGAGGAAGTTTCAGCAGGCAGAGCTGTCACGATGCGTTCGAGAGGCTCATTGGCGGTGTGTGTTGTGTAACTGCCTTGGCGACAGCGCAGGGAAGTTGGTGCTGTTTGCGGGCTTCCGCAGTTAGCTGCAGGAACGGGGACCCTGGGCATGTTTGTCCTCACTGGGACTCCTCAAGAGCCCTGCAGCTGTCATCTCCTTTGGAGAAAGGGGTTAGTTGTTCTGTGAAATTGTAGACAGTTCGCCTTTGAATAGACCACATAGAATTTATGATTCATCTTTGAACTTTAACTCTATGGGCAATGTTAAACATTTAAACAGATTGGTATTTAGAGAGGACTTCAGAGGTATTTAGAGATGGACTTCAGCACATTAAAACAATCTGTAGGAAGTAACATTCTAACGTTGCTACTTACTCAGCTATATGTTCAGGGTTCATTTCACTTTTAAAGCTCTATGTGTAGAAAACACTTGAGACCTATGAAACTTGGCTGCAAGTGCTTTCTCTGTGCTAAGGTTTTGTGTACGAAGCTTCAGCCCATGTGTACTTGTTAAACCTGTAAGTCAAATCCACCCACAGCAGAGGCAGAAAGGAATATGAGAGCAGACAAGTTGTTCCGTGAACATCAAAACCAGTGGAGCTAATTTTGTCATCATGTCCATGTTTCTCAAATCCACAGCCTTACCCAGATCTTCTATAATGCCTCCAGGCACTCAACTCGTCCGTAATGTCTCTGTTTCCCTGCAGTGCTTTCAGCTCTTGCCAGCTGTCAGTCACTGCTCCAAGCTCTTGCTTCTTTCAGCTTGCCCCCATGTCCACTACGCCTCCCTTCCACAATACTTGCGGATTCTCTCATTTCTCTCTCTCCCCCTCTCCTTATTCACTTCCTTTTTAATTGTTTTTCCTCCCTCCCACTCCCTGGCAGCTGGGCAAGCAGCAGCACATATGGTGGCTGCTTCAGAGCAATACACATGTTGTTGACTGGCTGCCTCGTACTTGTGGTTGTCCGGTCAGGCCGTGCCAAGCAGAGCGGCTAAAGGCTGAGCCTTCCTTCCCGGCTAGTCCGCAACAGGAACATCAATACGCTCTGCCCACCACGCAGCCAGTGTTTTCCATTAAACTTCGAGGACACTGACTGGACCACAGGCATTTGGTAGAATTGGATTAGTGAAATAAAAACTACTCTGGGGAATGGTGGGGTGGAGAGATTAACAGAAAGACAGTAATTTCTCATAGACTTTGTTCCCTGAGGAAATCAAGCTAAAATAGCAAGAAAAATTAACAAGAAGATGAAAGATCAGAATTACTGTATAAATAGACAGCTTTAGAAAAGCAACCTCTACTCCTAAGGCACTTGAAGTACATCCAACCTGAAAAAAAAAACTAATACGGTTATTACTATGGGATATATTCTTATATGACAGAGAGAACTGTAAGTTTAATACTTATTAGACAGCTTTTTAGTGATTTACTGAACTAAATAAATGCTTGAACTAGATGTTGTTTGAACTCTTTGAACTATTGCACTTTGGGCTGCACTAGGATTTGCCAGTATGTTAATAGCCACATGACCTGGTCGCTACGGAACACCTTCTTGTCTGGAAGACAGGCATGTTTTCACCCATGTACCCTAAGTGATGAGGGAGGCTCTGGGGGAGCCTGCTGGGTGCAGCTGAGCATCAGCAAGGGGAGATGGAAGCATTAAACTCCGCATGTCACTGAAGACAGCAGTAAAACATACGTTACATTCAACAGGGCTGTGATTTCACCCAGGAAGGAAGCGGAATAGAACTGTTGCCTGCAGTCAGAGAGAAGGCAGAGGAGCGGAGTGAGGGGGGGTAGCTAGCCTTGTCATGGAGTTATTAACACTGTAAAATGTTGCATATAGGGGGAAGAGGCTTTCTGGCAGCGAACATGTTTAGAATGTGAATTAGTCCTCAGGCAGAAGGAGCGAAAGGCCTATTGTGGAGGTCACCTAAAAAAGGAGAGTGGCCTTGCGCCCTGGCTCCTGTGCTGCAGAAGCCTCAGGCTCTGCTCTGGGGCTCTCTAGATGCTGGGCTGGCAGTCTAAGCTGTTCCCAACTGGCAGGTCTGCTGCAGCCCAGAGCAGGCGAAGGGACAAAAGAGGCACTGTGCTTTTTCTGAGCAGCATGTGAGCAAAAACTAACAACAGTTTCTTATTTAATTAACATATTAAGCTGTGAACTGCCGTGGTTGAGGACTCTCACCCAGTATCCTCGCTGACTTCAACTGCAAAAGCTAAATCATTTTGAAATGAGGCCCTTACTGGAGCAAATTATTTGCTTAAAAACAAAATAATTATAGTATTTTCAACCTCCTTAGTGACTATTGTGTATGGGTTGCTTCTGGAAAGCCTGTAAGTTCTGTACTAGCTGTACAAAGTTACCCAGCTATTCAGCTGGGATGCTGGGTCTTTGAGCATCTCTTTCACTTCCATTTCCTCAGCCAACACTGACTTTTGTTCTTTGTTTCTTTTGTGACTTTGTATGAACCTTATTCTCTTAATCCGGCTCTTGAAGATGAAATCTTTCTGCTCTGCACCTGTTTCCCCCATCCCTCATTCCCAGTTTTCTGCTTTAGCTTGACTATGTAGTGCTAAATCAACTCCAAGACTCTGAAGATGTCTTATGCAGAATACTTAGTTTCTCCTGGTGTTGTTTCTGTCTTTTACACCCTCTTAAAATGTTCTTCCCACAACTCCCATGTGTCCCCTGGAGGTTAAATACTTCCTTCTGTTGTTTTCCTCTTTTTTTTTTTGATTGCTTTCCTGACATGTCTTTTGACAAGCAATAGTAAATGAATATTTGAAAAGTAAAGATGATGGCACTTTTGAGCTACGAGTGTGAGAAAGCTTCCAGGTTGTTCTTGCTCAGTTTAGGGCCCTTTATGTTGCTGTGGTGGCATAAATGAGTTAACAGGAGTGCATCCACACACACTTTTTAGAGCCTCTTTATTGGTCTCTGTATGTCTGTGCCATAAATGAAAATTTGATTCTGATAAGTATATCTAAATAAATAAATGAAATAAAATATCTACAGTAGATTTGTAATATAGGTTAGGAAGATCTTTTGTATTTTT